CAACCACGATGGGACTCGAACCCACAACCTTTGAATTAGAAGTCCAACGCGCTAATCCATTGCGCCACGGGGGTTTCGCCCTCCGCCTTCGGCCTATATGTCGATTATACCAATCTGGTGTTACAGTCTGCGTGGGTTCGTAGGAGTTGTTAATCTGTCACCCGTATCCACTTTTATTCTTACCCTACGACACAACTCCAAAATTTGTATACTCAAAATATAGCCTGATGGGGCGGGCGAAACCCCCGTGGCGCAATGGATTAGCGTGTTGGACTTCTAATTCAAAGGTTGTGGGTTTGAGTCCCATCGGGGGTGCGTGTTGTTGGTTGTGACGGCAACTAAAGAGTTTTTTGAAGAAAAATTGTAAAATATGTTTGAACATAAAAGACACCCCCGATGGGACTCGAACCCGCAACCTTTGAATTAGAAGTCCAACGCGCTAATCCATTGGGCCACGGGGTTTCGCCACCGCCTTCGGCCTATATGTCGATTATACCAATCTGGTGTTACGGTCTGCGTGGGTTCGTAGGAGTTGTGAATGTGTCACCCGTATCCACATTTATTCTCGCCCTACGACACAATTCCAAAATTTGTATACTCAAAATATAGCCTGATGGGGCGGGCGAAACCCCCGTGGCGCAATGGATTAGCGTGTTGGACTTCTAATTCAAAGGTTGTGGTTCGAGTCCCATAGGGGGTGTGCGTTGTTGGTTGTGACGGCAACTAAAGAGTTTTTTGAAGAAAAATTGTAAAATATGTTTGTCGCAACATTAAAGACACCCCCGATGGGACTCGAACCCACAACCTTTGAATTAGAAGTCCAACGCTCTAATCCATTGCGCCACGGGGGTTCGTCCACCGCCTTCGGCCTATACGTCGATTATACGAATCTGGTGTTACAGTCTGCATGGGTACGTAGGAGTTGTGAATCTGTCACCCGTATCCACATTTATCCTCACCCTACGACACAACTTCAAAATTGATATACTCAAAATATAGCCTGATGGGCGGGCGAAACCCCCGTGGCGCAATGGATTAGTGTGTTGGACTTCTAATTCAAAGGTTTTGGTTCGAGTCCCATAGGGGGTGTGCGTTGTTGGTTGTGACGTCAACTAAAGAGTTCTTTGAAGAAAAATTGTAAAATATGTCGTAACATAAAAGACACCCCCGATGGGACTCCAACACACAACCTTTGAATTAGAAGTCCAACGCGCTAATCCATTGCGCCACGGGGGTTCGTCCACCGCCTTCGGCCTATATGTCGATATTACCAATCTGGTGTTACGGTCTGCATGGGTGCGTAGGAGTTGTGAATCTGTCACCCGTATCCACATTGATGCTCGCCCTACGACACAATTCCAAAATTGGTATACTCAAAATATAGCCTGATGGGGCGGGCGAAACCCCCGTGGCGCAATGGATTAGCGTGTTCGACTTCTAATTCAAAGATTGTGGGTTGGAGTCCCATCGGGGGTGTGCGTTGTTGGTTGTGACGGCAACTAAACAGTTTTTTGAAGAAAAATTGTAAAATATGTTTGTCGCAACATAAAAGACACCCCCGATGGGACTCGAACCCACAACCTTTGAATTAGAAGTCCAACGCGCTAATCCATTGCGCCACGGGGGTTCGTCCACCGCCTTCGGCCTATACGTCGATTATACGAATCTGGTGTTACAGTCTGCATGGGTACGTAGGAGTTGTGAATCTGTCACCCGTATCCACATTTATCCTCACCCTACGACACAACTTCAAAATTGATATACTCAAAATATAGCCTGATGGGGCGGGCAAAACCCCCGTGGCGCAATGGATTAGCGTGTTGGACTTCTAATTCAAAGGTTGTGGTTCGAGTCCCATAGGGGGTGTGCGTTGTTGGTTGTGACGTCAACTAAAGAGTTCTTTGAAGAAAAATTATAAAATATGTCGCAACATAAAAGACACCCCCGATGGGACTCCAACACACAACCTTTGAATTAGAAGTCCAACGCGCTAATCCATTGCGCCACGGGGGTTCGTCCACCGCCTTCGGCCTATACGTCGATTATACGAATCTGGTGTTACTGTCTGCATGGGTACGTAGGAGTTGTGAATCTGTCACCCGTATCCACATTTATCCTCACCCTACGACACAACTTCAAAATTGATATACTCAAAATATAGCCTGATGGGGCGGGCGAAACCCCCGTGGCGCAATGGATTAGGGTGTTGGACTTCTAATTCAAAGGTTGTGGTTCGAGTCCCATAGGGGGTGTGCGTTGTTGGTTGTGACGGCAACTAAACAGTTTTTTGAAGAAAAATTGTAAAATATGTTTGTCGCAACATAAAAGACACCCCCGATGGGACTCGAACCCACAACCTTTGAATTAGAAGTCCAACGCGCTAATCCATTGCGCCACGGGGGTTCGTCCACCGCCTTCGGCCTATATGTCGATTATACCAATCTGGTGTTACGGTCTGCATGGGTACGTAGGAGTTGTGAATCTGTTACCCGTATCCACATTGATCCTCGCCCTACGACACAATTCCAAAATTGGTATACTCAAAATATAGCCTGATGGGGCGGGCGAAACCCCCGTGGCGCAATGGATTAGCGTGTTGGACTTCTAATTCAAAGGTTGTGGTTCGAGTCCCATAGGGGGTGTGCGTTGTTGGTTGTGACGGCAACTAAAGAGTTTTTTGAAGAAAAATTGTAAAATATGTTTGTCGCAACATTAAAGACACCCCCGATGGGACTCGAACCCACAACCTTTGAATTAGAAGTCCAACGCGCTAATCCATTGCGCCACGGGAGTTTCGCCCACCGCCTTCGGCCTATATGTCGATTATACGAATCTGGTGTTACAGTCTGCATGGGTACGTAGGAGTTGTGAATCTGTCACCCGTATCCACATTGATCCTCGCCCTACGACACAATTCCAAAATTGGTATACTCAAAATATAGCCTGATGGGGCGGCCGAAACCCCCGTGGCGCAATGGATTAGCGTGTTGGACTTCTAATTCAAAGGTTGTGGTTCGAGTCCCATAGGGGGTGTGCGTTGTTGGTTGTGACGGCAACGAAAGAGTTTTTTGAAGAAAAATTGTAAAATATGTTTGTCGCAACATTAAAGACACCCCCGATGCGACTCGAACCCACAACCTTTGAATTAGAAGTCCAACGCGCTAATCCATTGCGCCACGGGAGTTTCGCCCACCGCCTTCGGCCTATATGTCGATTATACCAATCTGGTGTTACAGTCTGCATGGGCAACATAAAAGACACCCCCGATGGGACTCGAACCCACAACGTTTGAATTAGAAGTCCAACGCGCTAATCCATTGCGTCACGGGGGTTTCGCCCACCGCCTTCGGCCTATATGTCGATTCTACCAATCTGGTGTTACAGTCTGCGTGGGTACGTAGGAGTTGTGAATCTGTCACCCGTATCCACATTTATCCTCACCCTACGACACAACTCCAAAATTGGTATACTCAAAATATAGCTTGATGGAGGCGGGCGAAACCCCCGTGGCGCAATGGCTTAGCGTGTTGGACTTCTAATTCAAAGGTTGTGGGTTCGAGTCCCATCGGGGGTGTGCGTTGTTGGTTGTGACGGCAACTAAAGAGTTTTTTGAAGAAAAATTGTAAAATATGTCGCAACATAAAAGACACCGGCGATGGGACTCGAACCCACAACCTTTGAATTAGAAGTCCAACGCGCTAATCCATTGCGCCACGGGGGTTTCGCCCACCGCCTTCGGCCAATATGTCGATTATACCAATCTGGTGTTACAGTCTGCATGGGTACGTAGGAGTTGTGAACCTGTCACCCCCGTGGCGCAATGGATTAGTGTGTTGGACTTCTAATTATTATTATTATTATTATTATTAATGTTAAACACTCCCAGAAGGGTTTTTCTGTGTTCAATACAGAAGTTATAAAAAGTAATTACTTAATTAAATTATATTCTAAGAACTATATAATATACTATTAACACCAAAATATATAATATCAAGCTACTTATATTTAAGGTAAAATACTTATTAATACTATTTAATTTAAAATTTAGTCAGTAAAAGATGTAATTCAGTTCTGTTCATCGAGAAATTGTTGAACCAAATAACTTCGTAGCCCGCTTTTAAAACGTTCCAAATTAAGATTATGGTCTTTTAGCGCCATTCTGGCAAACTGTTCCATAAACAAGAAGCTCGGTAGCGAAAAGAACGTTGTCCGGTCGCTGTTCTATATAAAGGTATTTCCAATAATTCGCTAGATCTTGTGTTCAAATTGTGTAATTGTGATCTTGTTTGGAACATACGACATAAATATGATGGGGCCATACCATTAACACATTTATAAGCCATTACTGTATCTCGGAATCGCAACATATAATTGACTGGTAACCAGTTAAGCTGTTTTAAAGATGGAGTGATATGGTCGAATTTTTTTGTGCCCGTGACAATACGTGCTGCGAAATTCTGAAATTTTTGCAATTTTGCAATGTTTTTCTTCGATGAATTAGACCATATGGTTGAACAGTAATAGAGTTTACTAAAAACCAACGCGTTTATTAAAAGAATTAACGTCTTCATATCAAAAAGGTGCCTTGCTCTATTAATTTGACACAGGCTACCGACACAAGAGGAGACCAGTTTTGTGACGTGTTCATCGTACGTCAAACCACTATCCAGTGTCACGCCTAGATCAGTGGCTGAGGTCACAGGAAACAGTTTTTTCCCCAATAATAAAATATGGAAATCTGCCGGTATCTGTTTCAACATATAACGAGTTGCGAACACAAGTAATTTCGTCTTATTGGGATTAATAAGCAGACTATTTAGAGAACACCAAGAAACGACTCTCCGTAGATCCTCGTTAAGCTTAGCAGCCGCTGAGTTCACTTCATTGACGGAAAATGACAAAAGTAGCTTCGAGTCGTCGACGTAAGACTTCAAATTACCATTCTTTGGTACCATAGGTAAATCATTAATATATATGTTGAATAACATGGGACCGAGAATTTAGCCCTGCGGAACGCCATGATTGAGTGTGCGTGTTTCAGAGACAGTCGATCCAATGCGCACAACCTGCTGTCGTCCTGTCAAGTAACTCTTAAACCAACATAAAGCGTCATCGGACACTCCCAATACTTGGAGCTTTTTTAGAAGCAATACATGATCGATACTGTCAAATGCTTTAGAAAGGTCTAGTAGAATTACAGCTACGACCTCCTTGTCGTCCATAGACTTTAAGATCTTATCCGATATAAATAAATTCAATGTTTCAGTGGAGTGCAGCTTCCTGTTTCCACTTTGGTGTACGTTTAAGCATTTCTTCTGTTCCACATATGCGGTAAATTGTTCCAAAACTACACGCTCGCAGATCTTTGATGCAGCAAGTAGCAAGGAAATTGGCCGATTATTTTTAGCAATTTCGTGATCCCCTTCTTTTAATAGGGGAATAACTTCTGACAACTTCCAGGCGCTGAGAAACAAAGATTCTCTTAAAGAGCAGTTAACAATATCCGTAAGAGGTTGAAGAATGTATGGTAAGGCATCTTTGATCACTTTCACAGAAACTTTATCTGGTCCAGGGGACTTATTGGATGGAAAAAAACACACAATTTTACGAATCACGTCACAGGACACAGGGTGAAAATGAAACTTGTCAATTTCTGCACTAAATTTATGTGGTATCTCTGGATGAGTCGATGTAAGACCATATGAAGTAATCAACGCTTTGGATTCTTCTGCCGCTTTTGCTCCGACTGAAGAAAAGTATTCATTAAATTTGTTCGCTACTTCAACGACATTCCCAGAATAAGTTAAACGTGTCTTTTCATTTCTAGGAATACATTCTCTTACAGTTTTCCAAAGGGAGTTGTTGTTGCTATTTTTGTCATTAATTCTTTTATACACAAATTTTCTCTCGGATTCTCTCAATTTTCTTTTAATTTGATTTCTACATGAACGATATCTGTCCCAGTCCAAGGCCTGCAGGGTTTGGCGGGCAAGTTTATGCAGCGCATTTCTTTTTTTCATAAGTTGGACAATTTCCTGGTCAACAAAAGGGCACAAGCGACGTTTAATCTTAACAGTCTTTATCGGGGCATGCATATCTAATACACTTAGAAATTTCTGATTAAAATTGTCCAGTCGCTGGTTAACGCCCTGGTCAATTGGATTTTCTTGCCAAATCAGCTGTTCTAGATCATTTTTAAACGCTTCAGAAGAATAATACTTAAAACTTCTTATGACCATGTAATCAGGTAATTTCTTAGGCAATTTAAGCTTTAATATTGAATAAACCAGAAAGTGGTCACTGATGTGCGTTTCTT